TGTGTGTGTGTGTGTGTGTGTGTGTGTGTCGGTCGTGGGGCTTGAACTCTGGGCCTGAGCGCTGTCCCTCAGCTCTTCAGCTCAAGGCAAGCATTTCACCACTTGAGCCACAGCGCCACTTCTGGTTTTCTGGTAGTTTCTTGGAGATAAGAGTCTCAAACTGGCTTTGAACCTCGATCCTCAGCTCTCAGCCTCCTGAGTAGCTAGGATTACAGGCATGAGCCATCAGTGCCAGGCTTTCCATGCTCTTTAAGGGAACTTCTAGTTCTAAAATGCTACTTTCCCCTGTTACCCTCCAGGGTAGCGAGACATTATTTCAATAATGAGATCAGAGCCATGAAGAAATTTGATTCTCCCAACATCCTTCGTATATTTGGTATTTGCATTGATAAATCAGGTAAGGAGACTTCAAGGATTGGTCAAGCTCTTCATGAATATGTTTCTATGTACTGGGGTTTGTTGTTGTTGCTGTTGTGTTTGTTTGTTTTTTTCTGTAGGTCATGGGGCTTGAACTTAGGGCCTAGACACAGTCCCTGAGCTTTTATGCTCAAGACTAGCATGCTATCTCTTAAGCTACAGCTCTACTTCTGGTTTTTTGGGTGGTTAATTGGAGATAAGAGTCACACAGACTCTACCTGGGCTGGCTTCAAACCTTAATCTTCAGATCTCAGCCTCTTGAGTGACTAAGGGTATAACCACCAGCACCCAGCTGTAAAAGACATTTCTCAAATGATTCCTCAATGTAAAATGACAACATTTCAAGAGCCATGAAGAGAATGAGAATTCTAGGAGCATTTGATCCATTCAGTATAGCATGGAGTAAACTGTGAGGCAGAAGTGTAGAGTTATGGGAGAAATGAGGCTCACAGCAGAGCTGAGGCACCTCTGCAGAGAGGCAGAGGTGACCTGCAGGTAGGAGGAGCTCTGGGTGGGACTAGTTCCTCACAGTATCTGGTTCCTCTCCACCAGACAATCTGCCTCGATTTTCCATCGTCATGGAGTACTGTGAGCTCGGTACCCTACGGGAACTGTTGGAGGACAAAAAGGATCTTTCATTGGGTATGCGAATTCACCTAATCCTGGAGGCAGCCAGAGGTTTATACAGGTACCACACGGGGTAAAATGGCACCAACAAAGATTCGTGGGAGAATAGGCTGGAACCCCCAGATAGTCTCTGTTCCATCTATTGTTGCTGTGTTCACTCTGGTTATAACACCTTAGATAGCAAGTGTAATCTAGTGAGCATCAACGCTCTTGAATCAGTGTCAGGTTTCTCTTGTAGATAGACCCGACTACTAGAACTGCCTGATTTAGCAGATAACAATACACAATATCTGGTTCAAATTGAAGTGCAGAATATTGGTTCAAATTGAAGTGCAGAATATTTTTATGAATAATTAAACATTTCATATAAATATATACTAAATATTACGTGGGACATACACTGACTTTCAGATATACCAAGTCTTATGTGAACAATAAATGGAGGAGGGGGGTTTGCCGGTCCAGGGGCTTGAACTCAGGGCCTGGGCGCTCTCCCGGAGCATCTTTGTGCTCAATGCTAGTGTTCTACCACTTTGAGCCACAGCACCACTTCTAGCCTTTTCTGAGTAGTTTATTAGAGATGACAGTCTCGTGGACTTTCCTGCCAGGGCTGGCTTTGAACCACAAGCCTCAAATCTCAGCCTTCTAAGTAGCTAGGATTACAGGCATGAACCACCAGCACCAAAATGTTTTTCTTTAGAGAGGGAGAGAGAGAGAGAGAGAGTGTGTGTGTGTATGCTAGTCCGGAGTTTGAACTCAGGACTTGGACACTGTCCCAGAACTTTTTTTGCTCAAAGTTAGCCACTTCCAGCTTATTTGTGGTTAACTAAAGAGTTAGGTTGGAGGGGCTGGAAATGTGGCTTAGTGGTAGAGGGCTTGCCTAGCACGCATGAAGCCCTGGGTTCCATTCCTCAGTACCACATTCAGAGGAAAAAGCCACAAGTGGCACTGTGGCTCAAGTGGTATCAAGTGATAAGAGTATTAGCCTTGAGCAAAAGAAGCTCAGGGACTGCCCAGGCCCTGAGTCAAGCCCCAGAACTGGTACACACTAAAAAAGAGTTAGTTGGAGGAAAAAGTCTCATAGACTTTCCTGTCTGGCCTGGCGTTGAACCACAATCCTCAGATCTCAGCCTCTTGAGTAGCAAGGATTATAGGCATGAGCCCCTGGCACCCTGCTAGCCCCACCCCTTTTTTTTCTTTGCTTCTTAGTTATTTGGGGGAATAAAATCTCCCACTTTACTCCAAGCTATCCTGGACTGTAATCCTCCTCTTATGTTTCCCACATAGTTGCCCTCTGTCTGTCTGTCTGTCTGTCTGCTTCGCTCTTTGCAGTACAAGGGTTGAACTCAGGACTTCAAACTTGCAAGACAAGTGCTCTACCATTTGAACCATACCTCAGCCTCCACTTTTATTGTTGTTGTTGGTGGTGGTCTTGGGTCTTGAACTCTGGGCCTGGGCACTGTCCCTAAGCTCTTCAGCTCAAGGCAAGTGTTCTACCCTTGAGCCACAGCACCACTTCTGGTTTTCTGGTGTTAATTGAAGATCAGAATCTCACAGAGCCAGGTGCCAGTGGCACAGGCCTGTAATCCTAGCTACTCAGGAGGCTGGGATCTGAGGATCATAATTGAAAGCCAGCCCGGGCAGGAAAAGTCCATGAGACTCTTATCACCAATAAACCACTAGAAAACTGGAAGTGCTGCTGGGGCTCAAGCAGTAGAGCACTGGCCTTGAGCTAAAGAGCATAGGGACAGTGCCCAAGCCCTGAGTTCAAGCCCCACGACTGACAAAAAAAAAATAGTCTCACAGAATTTCCTGCCCGGTGTTGGCTTTGAATGGTGATCCTCAGATCTCAGCCTCTTGAGTAGCTAGGATTACAGGCTTGAGCCACTGGCACCCTGCTAGCCCCACCCCCCCTTTTTTTTTCTTTGCTTCTTAGTTATTTGGGGGAATAAAATCTCCCATTTTTCTCCAAGCTATCCTGGACTGTAATCCTCCTCTTATGTTTCCCACATAGTTGGGCTGACAGCATATATCACCACACACAACCATTTGTTACAATGTAGACTTTTTACCTAGGCTGGCCTTGAACCAAGATCCTCCTAATCCCCCCCTCTAAAGTAGATGGCCTTACTCATATAGAATATTGTATTTTTGGAAGTGGTGCTGTAGCTCAAGTGGTAGAGTGCTCACCTTGAGCTGAAGAGCTGAGGGACAGCGCCCAGGCCCAGAGTTCAGGCCCCATGACCACACACACACACAAATATATATATATATATATGTATATATATATATATATATATAGTATTCTTAAATATTTTCTCCCTAAAGTGACCCCTGGTACACATACTTCTCAAGGATTGTCACCCTGACCTATCTGACACATCTCAGCTCTACTAGATTCAGCACACTGTCAAATCCCACCTCTTTATCTAAGTTTCTGGGCTCTCCATGGATAGCTACCATTAGCCAGGCATGCTCTAGCCAGTAATGATTGTGTGCAAAAGTCACTAATGCCCTCTTCCCTTTGGTCATGTCAGGTTGCACCATTCAGAAACACTTCAACTCCATAGAAACATCAACAGTTCCAATTTCCTGGTAACTGGAAACTACCAAGTGAAGGTGAGCATATCCTTTAGAGACTCTTGGGGTGGGTCAAAACATGTGTGTTTGGTAACAAAGAGGGTCATAAGCAGCTCAGAAAGTTGTGCTGATTGTTTCTCCCCATTTTAGATCAGAGCTCCACTCTTCTCTGCTTGAATTGCTTTCTGTGTGACCACCACAGGGCAGACCCCAGTCTTCCCTCCTGCTCTGATGCCTGACACCACTTTTTTTGTGTGTGTGTGCCAATCCTGGAGCTTGAATTCAGGGCCTGGACACTGTCCCTGAACTGTTTTTGCTCAAGGCTAGCACCCTACCACTTGAGCCACAGTGCCACTTCCAGCTTTTTCTGTGTACGTGGTACAGAAGAATTGAACCCAGGGCTTCATGCATGCTAGGCAAGCACTCTACCACTAAGCCACATTCCCAGCCTCTGTACAGCACTTCTAAGTCAGTACGGCATCCACAATAGCATCTTCTTAGGTTCACCTAGGTATTCAGATTTACATATCTGTCATGGCCACATTTGGCATTCAGAATTCCTTAGATGCATCTTCTACAAGAAATATACCTCGTCAACAATGTCAAACTCCTCTCTCCATTGGAAGGCCCCATAGCTGTCCAACAAATATTGTCTTTGTTCTCCCCTGGGTTTCTACAGAAAGAGGCTCCCCAAGGTAAATATGAAGAAGCTATTCAGGCTTAGAAGTCCCAGGACTCACACAAGTCAATATCTCCCTCCCACATTGAACTCAGGGCTTCACACTTGCTAGACAAGTACTCTACCACTTGAGCCATACCTCCAGCACTTTATTTTGCTGGTCCTGAGGCTTGAATTCTGGGCCTGGGCACTGTCCCTGAGCTTCTTTTGCTTAAGGCAAGCACTCTACCAACTTAGCCTCAGTGCCACCTTGCAGCTTTTTTGAGTAGTTTATTGGATATAAGAGTCTCATGGAGTTTCCTGCCCAGGCTGGCTTTGAACTGTGATCCTCAGATTTCAGCCTCCTGAATATATAGTATTACAGGCATGAGCCACCAGTGCCTGCCCGACACTTTTCTTTTTGACTTTTAGTTTTTCAGGTAGAGCCTCACACTGACTTTTTCTAGGCTGACAAACTACAATCCTCCTACTTTGCTTCCTATCAATACTTCTTAGAACAACTGTACCGACCAACCTTCTAATAATCCTGAAAGAGACATCAGTTCCCATTTAGAAGAGCTAATACACAGAACAGCATACCTACAAGCTGTGCATGGTCTACTGACCCACTGACTGCCACCCACCATTTTGCTACTCAGCCATTGTTTTTTTTTAATTATCAATAATGTTGCTAAGGATTATAGCTGTTAATCTACATTTATCAAGCTTTCAGGGCAACAGCTAAAAAGTGAACTGAAAAATCTACCATCACTTGTTTTGTTTACTCAGCAGAAGCCAGGGTTTCATGGATTCATTGTCAAAAATTACCAGATTCGTAAAGAATGTTGTATTCTTTATCCATAAATGGTTTTCTTTCTTCCAGCCTTAAGATACTCAGTGTTGCTCATTAGGTGCTGGTGGCTCATGCCTGCAATTCTAGCTACTCAGAAGGCTAAGATCTGAGATTTGCAGTTTGAAGCCAGGCTGGGCAGATAAGTCTGTGAGATTCTTATCTCCAATTAACCATCAGAAAACTGGTAGTGGCGCTGTAGCTCAATGTGGTAGAGCACTACCCTTGAGTAAAAAAGTGCCCAGGCATGAGTTCAAGCTCCATGACTGACAAAAAAAAAAAAAAGTTGTAACCATTAACCATTACATCAAGTAACCCTCCCTGCCATCATCCCTATTTCATACAGAACTCTCTTTGTACTTCTCTTGGTTAGTGCACTATGATAAGTTGAACTATAATATCAACATATATAATAGGCACACAACCAGAAGACATCACTGGAAATAAATCCCTCCCTAACAATCACTTACCACACCAACTCCCTTTCCCCTACTCCTCCATCCCAGATCTCAGTTTTTTTTGTTTGTTTGTTGGTTTTATTTTTCTGCCCAGCTTGCAGGGTTTGAGTTAAGTGAAACTCAGACTTTCATCAGTCAGAAAAGGAAGACGAAAACAGATAAAGTCAATTCTACAGCATACGTCTCACCCCAAGGACTGAAAAATGGGTTTTACAGATATGATGTACAAGCTGAAATATACAGGTATGTTCGTGTTCTTTTACAGAACCTAACCCAGATGAACAGAACAGGAAGGTCCAAGTCAAATTTTTCTAAGGGTCATCTTAATTCTATTGAACAGAGTTGGGTGGTAATCTGAACATTTACTAAGTTTTCTGGCAATAGCTAAAGGGACACAGGGAAAAGAATTCATTAAGGCGTTTATTTTCTTGGTTTTCTTTTAGCTTTGGCATCGTCCTCTGGGAAATTGTCACTGGGAAGATTCCTTTTGATGGTAAAGAATACAAAGGCTGGCTCTGCCAGTGCTGGGGTTGGGACCCCTTCTAAAGCACCAGAAAATTCCTCCATCTGTCTTGGGAACTATATTGTCTGATGTAGAAACTGACTAGGGTAACCACCAATGGAATTATTGGAGACTCCTGCTTTTTCCATATTTGAAGTTCCTAGTTCTAACACCAGCTATTAGTAGCTAGAGAGATGTGTGAGAATATAGGAACAATATGCCTTCCGTCTTATCATTTCCATTCCAGGCAAGGACAATAAGGAGATCTACCAGCTGGCAGCTATGGAAGGGTACCAGGAGCCAGTGAACGAAGACTGCCCTCCAGAGCTACAGGAAGTCATTGAAATGTGCCTGGCCTATGAGCCCTCCCAGAGACCCTCTGTTAAAGGTATGGTTTATTTCACATTTGTGAAAGATTTCAACTGTGTGTGTGTGTGTACACATGTGCATGCACATGCACACGCATGTACACTGAGGTTTGAACTCAGGGCCTTAGCATTCTCCTTTAGCTATTTTTACTCAAGGCTGGTGCTCTACCATTGAATCACAACTCCACATTCAGCTTTTCTGAGGTGGTTAATTGGAGATAAAAGGCTCACAGATTTTCCTTCCCCAGGCTGGCTTCAAACTTCAATCCTTAGATCTCAAACTCCTGAGTAGCTATGGTTACATGTGTGAGCTACCAGTGGCTGACAAAAGATTTCATTTTTCAAAGTGCCAAGAAATTAGGAATAGGGGCTGGGAAGGTGGCTCAGTGGTAGAGCGCTTGCCTTGCATGCCTGAGGCCCTGGGTTCGATTCCTCAGCACCACATAAGCAAAAAGA